CTATCTATCTATCTATCTATCTATCTATCTATCTATCTATCTATCTAATGTATATATGTATATATGTATATATGTATATATGTATATATGTGTATATATATACATATTTAATGCAATGATGTGAGTCTTACTGAGTAGCAGCTGTGACCCAGATACTAAGACAACATGTATAATACAGACTCACTGATGTACGTGTCTGCTTTAGTCAAAGCTGTGTTTTATTTCAGGTGGTCTCTCTCAGAAACCGTATTGATGAGCTGCAGAAACAGTACGTAAAGATCACGAACCACAACATACTAACAACACATCAGTTACATTTATGCAACATGTCACATATATGGTGATTTTAATTAGTCACATTATTGTTAGATGGCTAATAATAAAAGTATATTGTTTTGAGCTTTCAGTTCTCAAGGAAACTGAATGATAAATAATGATAAAATATTTATAATCAATAAATTATTTTTTAGTTCAAAACAGTTTTATTAAAACAATGTTAGAATATATGTTTATATTTGTTGGTTTAGTCTTTTATTTTCAGAATTTGACTGTATCTCATCCTTATAACTGTGTTTACATTTACCTCATCATGTTTTTGTTTTTCTCTAATGCTTGGTATGAAATTTGTAAATTATAATTTAATATTTTATGTGTTTTTATTTAATACTTTCCAACAATAATGCAGCACCCATTTGGTCCAACTCGATGCCACCAGACGGCGCTGCTGTGTGATGGAGTGTGTCCGTCTGATGTGTGTGTGTTGCACTTTGTGTCCTGCAGTAGCAAGAAGGGAGCTGCCTCTCGCCGCAGGAAGTGAGCAGAGAGCAGGCCAGCCTCAGCGTCCACAGCTGCTCACAGTCCGAGACAACATCTGGACCATCTTCCTGAGTGCAGCCGTGTCAGGACAAATGTAGCTTCAATAAAAAAACTGCTCAAAATTGGTTTCACTGTTTGATTAAAAATCCACTTGATCTGTTTCAAAAAGGTCCAATGATAAAACAGACTTTATTTCTTAAAATGTTTATGATTTAAATGATCAATATTTTGAAAAAAAAAAAATCTAAATTATTTTTCAACCTAAATAATTTACACCTGGATTAATTTATTTAAACAAAACTGCACAGGAAATATTACAGTTCAGACCAATTTTTGTAATTTATTTATTAAGATTTGATCTATTTCTTTCGCAGTCCGTTGTTCGGTTGTTCCTTTAGTTTTACTTGTCCCTCATTAAATGTTCGTGATTTTCCCCATTAACACCAAAATTCAGCTTTAGCACTTCCACAATTCATAAATCCCATTTATTTCCCTGTAACATCAGCTGCAAACATTCAAAACACAATTGTTGTCTTATGCACACGTTTACACAAATCCATAAAAATAAAAACACAAACAGACGAGACGCTTCTATTCACAATAAATTATTTTGTTAAAAACATGTTCGGGTTTCTTAAACCATTTATGAAGCTTAAACTTTTTACTGTTTTAGTTAAATACAAGTTGTTTAAAGTCACTTGAAAACACCCCACTGTTGAAAACAAGCAGGAGTTTGTGGCTAAAGACTCAAATCTTTCTCCCAAAACCAAAACATGTCTGGTCCAGTTTGGACAGAAATCTGAACTGGACTGTTGCTCTGAGTGTGGGAATCATCTCTTCAGTCCTTGTTCCTGTCTGAGGTAAGACGAGACATTTACAGACGCTGATGAGGATCTTGGAGAGAACTAGAAAGTTCCTGGAGAAACTTTGACGAGGACTGTCACATTTTAAAATTTAGATTTGACAGTTCTATGTGTTGGGGTTCACACTCAGCTACCAGTACACCCAATGTATGTTCAACTGGTTAAAAATCAACGAGTTATAGTCTTTTTTTTCTTTCTTTTAAGCTATGGTGACCTTCTTGTGCTTTTCATTTGGATTCACTATGTGATCAGGAACGTTCTTAGGTATCACCACACAAAATGTCACCTCTGGATGTGTAAAATTAACTGAGTTAAAGCCATTTACATTTAGCTTTGGTGGCCATCTTGGATTTTTATTTGCAATCAGAATCTATTAATGATTCTTCTACCAATACACTAAATTTCAGCAGAATATCTCTAAAAACTTCTGAGTTATATTCATTTGAAATTAGCTTTGGTTGCCATCTTGAATTTTTAGATTTGAATTCAGAATGTGTTGTACATCGCTGTCAGGTACCACCACACCTAATTTCAGCTCAATACATTTCAAAATAGCAGTTATTGTATTTTTCTCTTTCAGCTAAGGCCGTCGTCTTGTATTTTTAATTTGCATTATGTATAACAACTCGTTCTCTGCTATGACCATACCAAATTTCAGCTCAATATCTCAAAGAACGACTGAAATATAGTCAATTTTGTGTTTTTTGAGTTAGCTATGGCAGCCATCTTGAATCAAAATGGCTCCAAAAGCTACTCAGAGTTTTGCTCAGAGACCTCTCCACTCTTGGTCATGTGAAGTCACTGTGACACTTAGAGGCTGTTCAGAGTTCTGTCGGCGTTTTTTAATGAGAAAAATGGCGTCTTTGTTTACAAATTACATCGCCATGGTAACTCAAAAGGCCAATAAAAGTAATAGCACACATCATGGCGCCGAGACGGTTGTTTTGATATAACGTTGGGGGGGGGGGGGGGGGCGCGGGGGGGGTGGCACTGAGGTTCTGGCCACATTAAAGATGAAGGAAGAGAAAGACCCTTCTCAGGTGGGTAATAACAGGTGCTGCTGTTCTAGGCAGTTCCCAATCAAAATCCTTTACCACGATCAGGATGGGATTCTGTGGGCAGACGACCCCGAGGTACAGCCAGAACTCACTCGGGGGATTATTCTGTGGATCCTGTCTGGCTGGAGAACAATTTAGGACCTTGAGGAAGAGCTGCAAATTGTTACTTTTCAGGAGGGGAGAGGGAAGTCAGTGTTCTTCCTAGACCTCTGAGATGCAACCACGGGAAGAAGATGGATGAATAGAAAGGAAGTCAGAATAAAAATATCATTTTAATAAGTTTCAATAACTCTTAAATATTATACAAACACAGCAACTGTTGAATTGTGTTCTGACATTACATGGATGTTTAGATTTAGTTACACGTGTAACAAATGGTCCTCAGTTAAGATCAGCAGGAATCAATACAGAAAGGTCCTCTTCTTTATCGTTCTGCTGGCACATCGAAAACAGACAGCAGCGCTCAGTGTCTCAGCCAAGAGCTGACAGTGGAGACTCAAACTTCAGGCCAGCTGGCTCCAATCAAAACAAAAGACATCTAGAGTGGAAGATCCAGTTGGACGGACGGACGTCAGCAATCGGGAATATTTTAGTGTTCAGCTCCACAACAATGTCTCTATGGAAAAGAGTGTTTCGCTCCTTCAGGATGAGATGGCCTCGTAGCTGCTGCTGGAGTCAGCCGGTGAGGTGGAGACAGCAGAGATATTATGGGGCGATTCGGGGCCCCGAGGAACCACACTGTCCCCTGTGGGGCCCACGGTCGGGTCTGTGCTGATGCGCTGTACGATGCTGGACAAACAGTCCAAACTGGAAATAAGCGATGTTGTACTGCTGCTGCAATCTTAAGAGGAGAAACACGAGTAATTAGTCTTTGTACTTGAGTTCAGATCAGGATAGAAAAGTCAAGACAAATACAATTAAATACTGAATCTCTGTCCAAACTGACACTGACCTTTAGCAAGAAAAACCTTTTTCTGCAGCTTTTGCACAAGCAATTTAAATGCAAACAGCCTTTTTTGAGGAATA